TGGTCGACTACCTCTATGTGTTTTAAGGAAATTAAAGGTTTGTCCCTTTTGAGGTGACTACCTTTACTTGGAAGATTCACACCAAACTGTGGTGTTCTTCTGGAAGGCTTGCCCTATGGGTCACTAAGAATCACCATCGCCATGATTATGCTTAGCCATAGCATTTTCATCCTACTTAATTTACTGAAGGTAAATTAATGCATGCGAATTTCATGCAACATATGGCTGACCTTTTTGGAAAGGAAATGCGATGAGATGACATTTGGTGGGAGTAACTATTTAAGATGGGTCATGGACATTAAAGATTTTGTCGACCTAGAGCCTTGTTGCCACAGAAACTCCACCTGCAGAAAATGTCATATGGCTATTTATAAATAGCTAAGAATATGCATATTTGCATTTATGTGCCATCGCAATGGCTCGGTTCTCAAACTGAGTATGTAATGGATAATGAATATCCATTTTCCCTCTAAGGCTTCATTGAAGCGAGATATATTGTTATAAGCATCACACGAATGATTATTCATTTGTATTAAGGACTTCAAGTCTGTTGAGGCTTATTATTCTGTTGTCTATAAATCAACACTAAGTTGAGATTATGTGATAAGGCGGCTCCAGATACATATCTGACTATAAGTCCTTACTGCACTTTATGTTCTCCTAGGATGGTAAACAGAAATATCATCTTTGTTTCAGATTGCAATGCTTGAAATTCATGCTAGTACTCTTAGTACTAAGCAATAATGGTTAGAGAACCACGAGGAGTTGAATGTAAAGTGAAGAGAAAAAAATGACAAGCAAAAATTGAGCGTATATCTCAAAAGGGAATGGATCATTTAATTTAAATGATCATAATGGCAACTTTCAAGTCTGTCAAAATGGTGGTTTTACGAAATGATGTACTAATGATTACCAATCAGTCAAGTATTGGGTTGAATCATACCACCGACTCACTGAATGCAAATGATTTTAATGGGATAAGTTTGAAGTTCTACTTCAAAAGGAAACAACCAGAGAATATTCTGACATAATAGAAGGAGAATAGACTCATCTATATTGATGGTATGCTTGTGGAATGATATTCCGAAGATATTTTGGAGATCTCGTGTAGTCTCCTAGTTATCCCTAAATATCATTAGCCTATAATTGTACTACTACATATAGTATAAATTGCAACATCTTGTCCCTCGGACATGATAGTTGAGATAATTGAGTGTATGAATCAGTTCATACTCAATCTTATTGCATACTAATAATTTTTCCTCCTTTATCATCAAGGTATTGGATGATTAGAGAAATTATTGACAATTCTGTTGGCCATAACTTGACAAGTTGCAATATTTCCAACAATCATGAGATTGTTTTGTGCATTGCACGTGACATTGTGGAATTAATTTTAAGGCACTCTCACCTTAAAATTTGAAATGAGCCATCCAATATTCTTGATTGCATTCAAGAATATGTTTGGATTATTCAACCATTATCTGGGTTATGTTGCTACTTCATGGTGTTAATAGACGCATCTAAAAGATGGTCTTAGATGTGTATCATCCACACAACACCATGTGTTTACTGAATTAATTGCTCAAATTGACGAATTTAGAGCAAATTATCCTAACATGGGATAATGCCATTGGAATGCAAATGTCGTTGAAGTTGATTCACGAGCATTCAATGGTTATATTCAGTATATAGTACATAACTAGAATGGTTTGGCTTGATCTCTTTGAAAGAGATTCAATATTGCTTTGCCAATGTTGCAGAATTGTGATTTACCAACATTTTGTTGATGGTAACATGCGGTCTCACACTCCGCATATTTGGTCTAAATGAGATCAAATGATACTGCATCCCCTTGCAGTTTGTACGTGGAAATAAGTGAAGTATTTCCCATCTGCGGTAATTCGGTTGCATACCGATATCACCACCCCAGCGTACATCATGGGCCTTCACATATGGTTGGGATCTATGTGAGGAATAACTATGGTATGTTCGTTAATCCGCCGAATATACCTTAACCCTAGCAAGGGAGTTATTTGCAGCCCATACGCTATTACTTTTGCAATAAGAACATTTTCTGGCATTAGGGGAGATGAGTACCACAGAAAATGCCAGAAAATGGATAAGAAATGTCATAGACATTTTGTCCACGTACTTAAGAATCTGAACTCCAGGTTCAGGTTATGAGAAATTTGCAGCATATTGCAAATAATCTGCCAAGTATATTTATTGACGACAAAGGTGTTACTTTGGTCAAGTACCAGAGCGAGTGGAGGTACCTAATAAACCACTTGTCTCCCTAGATGAGAGCAAGAGGGGGAGAATTCTGGTCGCATGAGATTAAGTTCTCAAGTGTTTCAGCAGAAACAGAGGAGATTGATCCCTCGATCAGTAAATATGATTCAACCTCGGGTTGAATGACACCCGACAGATGCGCGACATCCAAAGTCCAACACATATGTGCACAGATTTTTAGGTGTTGGGACATCGAAACACCTTGACTCCGTTGTTGTGGGAAATCACAGGGAGTTAAGAGGCGTAATAAGAATTCCACAATGATATTGATTCAGGAGAATCGTATATGAGAAAGTCTACATATGTCGACATAAATTCTTCTCGAGAATTGCTAGAATCCTTTTGGGCCCTGAACCAAATCTATTGAGAGTGTTGTTGCACTTATATTGGTTCAAAGGAAAGGAAGCAATTAAGGAAAAGTGGCACTCGCTCATCAAAGAGAGGTATTTACCATTGTAAAACCTGCTCCTCATAAATATCTTCCAGAGGGAAGAAAAGTGAATTTTTGTTTGGAAGCAAAAATAAATGAGGTGGTGAGAAAGCGAGGGTTGTAGCACAAGGGTTTTTCGCAGAGACCTGACATTGGTTACGATGTAGCATACCTTCTTGGTATAAGTGGAATTATGTTTCGGTACTGAATATTAATGGCAGAACAGATCCATATAGGTGATGTATGTAATGTCTACATACTCCGATGGGTCAATTAGTTTGGATGTATATATTGAAGTCATTGAATGACTTAATATCCTGAATCCAAAGGTAAATCGCAACATGCATGTGTGGAACTTCTTAAGTCATTCTATCACTTGAAGTAGTCGGAGAATTGTGTGGTGCAACCGACTAAGTGAGTTATTCCTTGACAAGGATTACTCTCTCATACTAATGATTGTTGACGTGTATTCATGAAGTAATCCTTAATCGGATTTTACATCACCTTAATTTATGGTGTTGATGATCTTATAATCAAAGTCTATATAAGACATGAAATACACACAATCATGTTAAGACGGATATTTGGGTTAAACCAAATTATGCTAAGTTTATGACTTGAGCATACCCCCCTAAGATATCAGTCTTCATATATCCAGAAGTATTGGAGAAGTTCAATATGGATATATTATATCAAAGACACATTTGGTCATATTATACCTAATATGGTATACAAATCCTTGAGACATAGGGGAGATGGTGAAGTGATAGTTGGACACAAAGTGCCATATCTAAATACCATCAAAGCACTCATATATTTTGCAAAATATGTCAGGCCTGATACTATAGTTTTTGGCAATTTATTGAGAGTGCAATTCCTCAAAAAGTATAAGGTTTGTGTAAGGAATATCCTCAGATATATTCAGGGCACAAAGGGTCTTGATCAATTTCATCCGGAAAATCAAGATGGGACCATGGTTTGATATATTGATAGTGGCAAATTATCTGATCCCACAATGCCATATCAAAGACTAGGTTTGCTGGAAGAATATTTTGAGGGAAGTCTTCAGAATAGACTCTAAACGAGTCCTTCCAGTAATCATTCTATTTTATTTGAAGCATCACAAAATGTTGATGACTTCATAGAATGATTGGCCACATGTGAACATGTGGTGATTATCATTATCTACCAAGATAATGTCACTTGTATTGCTTATGGGTTATATTTATCCTTGTGAATTACAGAAATGTAAGAGGATAATACGCAAACAGATTATTGTGATATTCACAATGTCTCTATCAATGTTTATGTTCCAGAACTAGGTTCATGAAATTGGTATGAGATATTCTTGAGGTTTGCAAAGTTCAAGGGGAGTAAAATCCCAAATAATAACCTGTTGGTAATCTTGTGATCACTCATATTGTACTCTTTTTCCCTTTATGAGTTTTCCGTGATGGTTTCTCATATAAGGTTTTTAACGAGACAATATAAATACAAGTGCGGACGTATGTCATATGGTTTCTCCTTATATTTTTCCCACTGGGTTTTTAAAGGAGTTTTCGGTGGCATATCGTTATAATGTTTCTCCTCAAATTTTTCTCGCAGGGTTTTTAGGAGGAGTTTTTGGATTGAAATATACAGATGATGAATTATCAAGGAGCAGTGTTAAGAAATAAAATATATGATCATTTGTATGGGAAGGATGCCTCCCAGGAGGTGTCTGTTGGGGAAGAGGTGTCTTCCCAACACACCCCTTCAGCCTGTATATAAGTGGGTCTCCACATTGCAATGGAACTGGTGGATCATTTGTGTCTCTTCTTTGTCTCTTTTACTTTGATACTACAACAGTTTGAACAACTTTTGTTGGCTACTCCAGTGTAATTGGAATATTCGTTCATGCATGCATGCATTCACACCTTACGTTACGTTTTTCTCGCATCCAAGTCGTCGTCGGTCGTCGGCTGGAATGGGTCATTGCATAATACTACTAGTACTTAAACAACTCAGTACCCAGAGCATGCAGGTCCCAGCGACGCAGCAAGGCAAGCAAAAGCCCCTCAACCCGTCCATGCCGTCCCACAGATCAGCAGCTGCAGCTGCACCTGTACTAGCAGTGCTAGTAGTATGGCTCGGCGGGGTGCTGCTTGGAGTTGGAGCAGCACTGCCCACACAGCCTAGCAGCAGGTGCCAGAGAGAATGCGGCGGCGTACACATCCCTTACCCGTTCGGCATCGTCGGGCCCGGGCCCGAATCGCCCGATCCCGACAACTGCGCCATGCCTGGCTTCGGCCTGACCTGCAACGAGACCGGGGTTAATGGTGGCCGCACGCCATTTTATTACGACCTGGAGGTCGTCGGCGTCTCGCTGCAGCAGGGTCAGGCCCGGATGAAGATGAGCATCTCAACCTACTGCTACAACAACGCCACCCAGGGCATGGACCCCGTCCCGTGGGGGCTCGACCTCACGGGCACGCCCTACAGGTTCGCCCACACCAACAAGTTCACCGTCATCGGCTGCCAGACGCTGGCGTACATCGTGGGCGAGCGCGCCGACGAGTACACCAGCGGCTGCGTGGCCATGTGCCGGAGGGGAGGCGACGGCGACGTCAGGTCGGCCTCACCAACGGCTCCTGCTCCGGGATAGGGTGCTGCCAGACTGCCATCCCCAGGGGGCTGCAGTACTACGACGTGAGGTTCCCCTCCACCTTCAACACCACGGAGATCCACGACGTCAGCCCCTGCAGCTACGCCGTGCTCATGGACGACTCCGACTTCACCTTCCAAGCGAGCTACGCGACCTTGCCGGGGTTCAACAACACCTTCACCGGAGAGGCGCCGCTCGCGGTGGACTGGGTTGTCGGAGAGGAGTCGTGCGACGCGGCGCGCAAGGATCCCTCCCCTACGCTTGCCTCGGCGACCACAGCGAGTGCTTCGACTCGCTCAATGGACCCGGCTACTTCTGCAACTGCTTCAAAGGCTTCCACGGCAATCCTTACCTGCAAGATCCGGAGCTAGGATGCAAAGGTACGTAGAAACTCAAAAACAATACATATGGCTAATACTCATCTATATATTCATATGAGAGTTAATAGAGTATCATCTACTTCTCTGTCATTTGAATTTACGGCGTAGATTTCAGTGGATTTATTTTTCCATTTGATTGATTCTGTTTTTTATTTTCGGTTTCCGGTTTCATTCTTTTCACACACCACACGGCTATATTTACACGTCCGTCTAGAGCGCACAACTGCTTGCCCATCGGCCATGCCTAATTGCCATTAAACATCCACCAATTTATTTATTTATTTGATATTTTTTTGCCTTTTTCTATTGGCGCACGCAACCACACTTGCACGTCCGTCAGACCACGTGCAACTTCAGTTGCACCCGATGCATCTGCGTGCAACTATAGCTGCACAACTGTGTGCAACGGTGTGCAACTGCTCATCTGATGTGTGCAACTGCATGTCCATTGGCCGCGTGCAATCGCGGTGGGCGTTCACCGAATGTGTGCAACTATATTTACCTTTTTTTAAGAAATACAGTAATAATATCAAGACATAAAGAATAAGTGAAAAAAGAAGAGAAAAGGGAACAACAACAAAATCCCGTGTTGATGTCACCTAGATGAGATTTAGTTAATTCTCGTCTAAATGAGAGTTAGCCACACACCTTGCAAATTCTCATCTAGATAAAAATTAACAGTCTTATCTTATCAATCAGATCTAGCAATCTAATATTAATTACACATGTAAGTGAAAGATCCTTAGTCAATCTTGTAGGAGTATACCGTTGATAGGGAAATTAAAAATATTTCTTTACAGAAAATAACAGAGCTTTGCGTTGTTTCCTATCACTTTTTTTTACCTATACTAACTGATGATAGTCAATAAAATTAATTAATTTGATCTTTGGTGGCAGATATTAACGAGTGCATGGACCTGGTGAAATACCCTTGCAATGTGCCTGGAACTTGCCAAAATTTTCTTGGCGGATTCGAGTGTCGTTGCCCCAAGCATACCAAAGGCGACGCCCAAAATGGGACGTGCGACGGAAACCACACATTTGGTATTGGAGAAAATCTCGGCATTGGTACGTCCACATCTCTGATATATGTCTACTACAATCTATGTACACAATATATCAACATCATACCAAAGCAGTGTCTTTAATTTCATCTTAGTGCAAATTAATTCAATCTTTTAGTCAAATAAAAAAAGCATGTTATCTTTCACCCCAAATAAGAAATGACGACTAACCGTGGCATCTACTCTTCAGGAGCCTTTGGCGTTGTTTTGGTTGGCCTGGTTTGTATCCTCGCAGTAGAAATCATCCGTCACAAAAGGAGTATCAAAAGACAAGATCTGATTAGACAGAGTGACGAATATTTTCAACAGCACAGAGGCCAGATACTGTCAGAAATGATGGGGGTAGAGCGTAACATCGGGTTCACCGTCTATGCCCGAGGAGCGATCGAGGTAGCAACAAACGTGTTCGACAAGGAGAGCATCATCGGGGAAGGAGGGCAGGGGACCGTGTACAAGGCGGTCCTCGACGTCGAAGGCAAGGCCACACTTGTGGCAGTAAAAAGATGCAAGGAGGTGGACGAGAGCAAGAGGAAGGACTTCGTGCAGGAGTTGGTGATACTCGGCCGCGTCGACCATCCCAACATCGTCAAGCTCCTCGGTTGCTGCCTGCAGTTCGAGGTGCCCATCCTGGTGTACGAGTACGTGAAGAACAAAACCCTGCAGGAGCTATTGTATAGCCAGCCGACCTCGTGTCGCGCCACCCTGGGGGCCCGTCTGAGGATCGCCGTGCAGGCCGCCGGAGCACTGGCGTACCTGCACTCGCTGGCGCACCCGATACTCCACGGCGACGTGAAGCCCGCCAACATCCTTCTCAGCGACGGATGGGGCGCCAAGGTGTCTGACTTCGGATGCTCCACCATCGATGAGAAGACCCAGGTGGTGGCCAGAGGCACAGCGGGCTACGTTGACCCAGAGTACCTGCTTAAGTACCAGGTCACCCACAAGAACGACGTCTGCAGCTTTGGGGTCCTCCTTCTGGAGCTCCTAACCGGGAAGAAGCCGATGTCAAAGCAACGGAAGAGCCTCATGGTGATGGTTCAGGAGTCTATGGAGGATGGCACGCTCCATGAACTCCTTGAAAGTGAAATAGTCGGTGATGCTAGCATGGGAGTGGCCCTTCAGGCTGTGGAGCTGGCGAATCGATGCTTAGGTATGCCGGGGAACAGGAGGCCTGCGATGAGGCGCGTTGCAGAGGAGCTCAAGCAGCTTGCTGACCAAGTGCAGCAGCCGTTGGTTTTGGAGTGTCACAGCCTCACTGTCACAGATATGGGGAGCTCCATGTCATCTGAGAATGACACCACCGGGGTTTTTAGCCTTGAGAAGAAAGCTGCATTGAGCATAGAATCCGCTAGATGAGATCGTCAGAAACATATTAGAAACTGTTTGCTAGCTATACGATCCATGGTTGTATCACGTTTCTAGGTCGTTGTTATGAAATCCACCTTAAGCTTACCACCAAATAATTTACGTGTTTATAAGCACTCACTTGACCTCCTACGTATGCAAAGCGGGATTGCAACAATTTTATTTTGTTATTGTTTAAATATATTGCCCTCTCTTCATCAGCTCGTATGTTTGGATGACCTGACTAGAGCATGAATTCAATATCCAATTAGAGCCAATAGGTCTCCAGTTCAAGACCATGTTAACATCGTATTAAAGAAAATAATTATGCGGCCTACATCGATCTCATGTACAAAGACTAAAAGAAAGCCTAGATATGAGGGCGGTGCTGAAACATATATTGTCTTTGTCTCTCCATTAATTCGGAGATTTGGATGAGCTAGCTAGAGCGTGAATTCAATACTTGCACTATTTGGTGGTACATTAGCCAGAATTTTGTCAACTACAATAAGTACTCCTTCCGGACAGATTTACAAGGGACGATTCAAAATTTCCTTTGAACGAAGGTTTGTCTCATATCCCCATAACTTGACTCTAATAATGAGGTGGTGGGTGCAACCCATGAAATCTTATCTATATATCTACTATATATACAATTAAAATCATAGTTCAGATTAAGTATACACGCATCATATGAAAAGTGTGGCTCAGATTTATGGGAAGGATAATAGCAAAGATGATGTAAGCAAGAATTTCACAAAATCATTCCCTATATGTACAAAAAGGTTCACCGTAGTTTTGGCACAAATTGCCTACATGTTAATTCAAGTGAACAGGGTTGGTCTCAGCACTCTCATGTAAATAGCTTAAAGTATCGTCCCATCGAAGAGTAGGAGACGATGGTTAATGCGAATGTTGAGTTGTCACAGGTGTCATATGAATTGGTTGTTTTGGTGTCTGCGAAGATTATAATGTGGACCGAAAACAAGTAGTGAGCGGTAAAATGAAGTGGCTATAACTAAGGTTGCTACTAAAGAACAAAAGTATAGAATGTAAAAATAAACAACGGTTTTCCTGCAATGAGAAAGTTTTTTTTAGAAAAGGAGGAATCACCCCCAACCTCTGCATCTGGGAGATGCATGCGGCCATATTATTTATTATTCACAAAGATCTTACAAAGAAATACAACAATAAGCCTGAGGACACCATCTTGACGACACCTGTTGCTACTCCTATTCTCTTGATGAAGGTGCGCTGAATGTCCGGGCCAAATACCAAACAGACATCGCACAAAAGCCTAGCATCTAACGCCGGATGCCCCATCCAAAGCAACATAGGCGGGACTGGGTAACACTACGGTCCGGCGTACTCTCAGTGAGTACCACACGCACACGCTGCAAAGGGCCGTCACCTCCGTCTTCCCTCGATCCATCATCAAAGCATGTACTGACATATCGACCTTGTCAAGGCTCTCTGCCATCGACGCCAGACAACGTCGACCTCCTGCGCGTGTCCATCGCCACACATCTGACGCCACAGCCTCCACTGCTCCATGCCGCCGAGAACCGCCGCCATGAATATATAGAAATAAACACCGCTCCACCGAAGAAGCCATCCGCTAGTCCCTCGAGCCCAAGTGCAACTCCAAGAATGCCGCCCCCAAGGGGGTAACGACACATGAATGCCGCCGTCATCCGATCAGCTGATCTAGGATTTCCCCCGGAGGTATTGGGTGGGGTTGGGAGCTTCACCTCGATGATGCCTTCATGAAGGAAACGATGATAAGGGCATCGTCATCACCGGCTCCGGCCAACGACCGAAGACCAAGTTTTCACCCAGATCCATCCCAAGAAATCCACCCGACAACCTGTGCACTGTCTCGACCGCCTTCAAAGCCCCAGATCTAGCCGCCTAGATCCGGCGACCAACCGCAACAACAGTGTCACCGTAGGAGTCCTGGCGCACCAGCCACTGCCTGAATGTGCCACCACTGGAGCCTGGGAGGAGGTCTCCCACCCCACCTCGCCAAACCGCGAGAGCCGCCAAGATGGATCCCGCACGCTCATCACTGTCTCTGATCTAAACCAATCCGCGGCAAAACCACGAGATCAGCGATGCAGATCCGCCTTGGATAGGGACAGCACCACGCCATGCCGCCGCGGGAGGCCAAAGCTTCACCCGCCGCCACCTTCCAGGGCCGCCGCCCCGGGATCCAGCCGCCGCCGATAGGTCGAGCCGCTGGCCACCGCGACCAAGGCCGCCATGACCCCGCTAGCCCATCGGACGGCCGGCGCCACCAGATCTTCCTCGGAGTCTAGCAGCTTCGTCGCCCCCGCCCAACACCATGCCGCCTTGCGTTGTCGCCTAAGACGCCGCGCCGCCGTGACGCAGATCGGGGGAAAGCGCCCCAGCGCCATGGGTGACCCGCCTCACCGATCTGGCGCGGGAGGGAAGAGAAGAGAGCCTCCGCCGCCGCCATCAGCCGCCTGGGGCTTCGCCCGGCGACCTCCTCGAGCGGCTGCCGAGGGGAAGGGGAGGATAGACGTGCCTGGCGGCGGGGGCTAGGGTTTCCACCCGAGCCACCCTAGCGGGAGGGCGACGCGGGGGCGTTGTGAAAGAGCAGGGAGAGATTAGGTGAAGGGAACAGATTAGAGCTTAGGTCTGCAATGAGAAAGTTAGATGTGGAGAAAGTCCGTTCATGGTAAATATCAAATGTGCTAGTGCAATGATAACGTGTAATTACCTATTCATGTGATTCTACCTCTCGTATTCCACGCTTGATAAGCGACTCACCCTTGGTAGAAATCAAAGCAGACTTATAAATAAATCCTAATCCTAAGAAAAAAATAGAATATCAGGAAAATAATTTAAAATTATGTGTTACAAATTTAATATTTGAAATATAAAGAAAATTAAATTGTTGTTTTTTTTTGCGGAGAAAAGCAAATTGTTGTTGACAGATGTTGCTAACTAATTAACTTCCTTTTGATTTTTTTTTTCCTTTTGCTTTATGGGAATTGCCATTGGACGACAGACCATTTTTAAAAGCGCAAGTCTACCAATAGTTTATGTTGGTTGTATAGACAAAACAAAATAAAAGAAGTGTGGCAGGAAACTCACTGATCTCATTGCCGTTTGGTTCTCTACTGAAGAGAGTAACCTTTTCCCAAGGGTGAACGACATCAGCTTGCGTTGTTGAAGTCACTACTCAGCAGCCTCATGCAGGCATAAACATTAGTAACACATGATATTTTGTTAAAAGAAAAAAAAGTAAATTCAAGCAGATATGCATGCAATGAAATGTGATGGTTCGGTAAAGATCTTAATTCACAGCATCGATGGCACCGTGCGGACCTCGATGCCATCACTGGGGACGTACTGAACCGAGAAACTGCACGACGTTTCTTCGCCTACCATTGAAGAACATCTACAATATCAAATAAATATCATATGCAAATATATTTCAGGATGAATCTGATAATATTGATTTTGTATTGGGATCATTAATATATTTTTTATAAACATGGTCAAAGTTTGGAGAGTTTGACTTCAAACAAATCTAATACGCGGAGCAAAAAAGAAACAGTGGGAATACATATGCACAGTCTGCGTACGACGGCCAAAAACTACTCAACCCGCCTGCTTGGTGACTGTGCGTAAGTGCACTTGTCGGAAAGTAAGTAAACTTCTAGTGAGTATGTGCAGACCTGCACCAAGAAACCTCACCCTCTTCAACGACAGCAATCGCATCAACCCCAACCGCGTTGGAGATCGACATCTGCCTCAGCCCAATGCCCACATCTACAATCAGGTCGGCCGAGGCGCTGAATTCACAAAGACCGTCTTTTCATTTGAGGGGGCAACGAAGAATATATATTAGTTGCCCTGTGCAATGACAGGGTCATACTTTTGCAATTTTTCATTTTGATAGTATAAATCTGAAATCTCATTAAAAGAAGTACTCCCTCCATTTCAGATTAATTGTTGTTGATTTAGTATAAATAACTTTGTACTAAATCAGCGACAATTAATATGGATCTAATATTTCTAAAAAAATCATATGAGCAAGTGTTTGGTCTCCGATCACACCACTGTGACTTGGACTGCTTGTTTACTTGATAGCTCGATGACAAAAAGTCAAACACAACCCAGACATGTTCTTTTTATCGACCTAGTCAAGATTAACTCCAACATAGTATTATTAGTTAGAGTGTTTTGATCAATAAAAAAGTTCGAGTGTTTTGGCTAGCAATCACGTCAATGCCAACTGGGTTGGAGTTCGGCACCTACCTCAGCCCCGTGCCCATGGCGACAACCAGGTCGACATAGACGCCGAACTTGAGAAGACAATCTTTTAATTCAAGAGGGCAACGAAGAATACCTTTTAGTTGCCATGCGTAGCAACAATGCCATAGTTTTGCAGTTTTTTAGTTTGATAGTATCGATCTGAAATTTCATAAAAAGTGATGACTTTAAAAATAATCACGTGAGCAAGCATCTAATCTCTGATCAGGCCACCGTGTCTTGGACTGCTTGTACGTTTACTTGACAGCTGGATGCCAAAAACAACCTAGTCAATATTTTTGAAATGGGCCTAGTCACGATTATCTCCAATATAGCATTATTAGTTACAGTGTTTTCACTAGCAATCGCATCAGTGCCAACCGGGTTGGAGTTCGGCACCTACCTCTGCCCCTATGCCCACAACGACAACCAGGCTGGCATAGACGTGGAACTCACGAAGACGGTCTTTTCGTCCTAGAGGGCAACCAAGAGACCTGGTAGTTGCCCTGCGCAACCACGAGGTCGTCTATTTGCAATTTTTCAGTTGATAGTATAGATCTGAAAATGTGTTAGAAAAGTAATACTCCCTTTGTTTCTATATATAAGTCATTTCAAAAATTTCAATATAAACTACATACAAAGCAAAATGGTGAATCTACGCTCTAAAATATATCTATGTATATTTATATGTAGTCCGTATTAAAATATCTAAAAAGAGTTATGTTTAA